AGTTCAATTAAGATATTTTTGTTATCTAAACATTTCACCTCTTTTTCCTACACTTTGGAATCGAAATGGGGCATCTATAAGAACCGGAATCGATAAGCTGAATTGGAATCGAAAATTTAAACGACACCCAATGGCTGATAAAAAAACATACAAAAGCAAGTCAGCACAGAGAAATAGAAAAAGAACACATTGATTAGTTGTTAACAATCAGACATTAACACATCAGAATTAAATAATTAATCAGATTAATGTAGAAATAAAGACCTTGGCACCAAGAAATCCAACTTCCACAGCCCAGGAGAAATCCTAAAACTGAATCTAGTATAGCTAACTTACTTTTTTTCCTACCAGTCATCTGAAAGCTTCACTACATAACTACCTAGACACAGACTCTTACCTGATTAACCTAAAACATACAGCAGGTAATCACAACAAAACACAGAAAGTTAATGCTACTGTTTAGTAGCATTAAAAGTATTTACCTAAACATTATGTTAAACAGAACTATCACCACATCCTCATGGATTTTTAATAACTCACATTATTGCAGCACACATCATTTAAAGGTACAGTGTGTCGAACAGTATGATATCTAGTGTTGAAATTGCATGCTGCAACTGAATACAACTCATCTCACCCTCCCCTTCCAAACATGAATAAGAGCCTGTGGCAGCTTTCAGTTGTCATAAAAACTCAAAGGTGTTTAGTTTGTCCAGTCTGGACTAATGTATATAACATGGTGGCCTCCGTAGAGAGGACCCCCTCAATGTAAATATAAAGTATTCAAATATAAAGAGCCTTTTCTGGGCTAAAGAAAATTACAATTCATACAATTTAGATGAAACGAACTAGTGAAAACATCATGAGGATAATTCTACATTAAATATCCGCCAAAAGATCCCTTTCAACTAAATCTTACAAAGTGGACCTGGAACCTGAACGGAGACATGTGGCAGAAACAAAACAAACATTGTCATGTTAATGTTTGTTAAATTTAAGGTCAGCAGCCCTGGGGGAACTAATAGGCCCAGCATTGCAGATGCATATCAGCTCCTCTGTATCTGTTGTTACTGAACAACAGAATCAGAGTAAATGTCAGAGAACTGAGTTAACACAATGTAAATAAAGCTCAAATTTTCCTCTGGTGAGTCTCTCTCTTGTCCGACCAAGTTGCTGCCTGTCAATCATCGGAGAGTCTGTGTCAAACAGACACGCCCCCAAACCTACAGCTTTTTAAGCTCTTATATATAATAAATTACAATATTTTTTTCAGATGGACAACCAGATCTCTGACAAGAGGGGAGTATCTAGCAAATGAGACCGTAATCACCAGTGGGAATATTTGGTGGGAAGTTGGTGTTTTTTGAAGGGCAGTCTATGGAGCAGAGCTTTCTCGGAGCCAATATGAGCCGGCCCCCTCACTTCCGCATAGGCTTCATCTTTTGGAACCAGAAGCTACGTCTAATTTTTATTTAAAGTCTATTGCTGCATTCCAGTCAACTCAGATGTCGGAATTTTCCAACCTCCTACTTGAATAAGTGCAATGGAACGCCCCTCAAAGTTGGATTTCCAACTTGTGGACTCTGGGAAAATGTGTCTACCCCAACTACACGAAGAAGCAAGTTGTCTGACGTCACACAACAATGGCAGCGCTCATGGAGACACAGATACTGTAGCACTGAAGCCCGTCTACCATCTGTTGGACTCTTGTTTCCTCATTTGTGAGACTGAGTGACAGTGTGTGTGAGTGTTGTCCTTTTATGTATTGAATGTGTTTCAAAGTATCAAAATAAAATGTATAATGGTGTCTGTTGCTTCATGAATGGTTTTCCCTCCTCTGCTTGTTTCTGTATAAACGGAGGCTGCACTGGTGACAGTTGAATTGTCTCATCATGAGACAAATAAACATCAGCTTCTCACGGTCAGACATGTTTGTTTTGACATTTTGCCATCACCGTGGAAGTCAGAACTTGGAAATTTCAAGTCGAAATATGCAACATCCAAGTTGTCTGGAAAGCAGCATATGGCAGCACCTTGGGGCCGCAACTGTGATGTCACAACTCTACTGTGATTGACTCAAGGCTTCACTGACACATGATGTGCCAAAACCTCTTTTTGTACCTAAAAAAAAGATAATGCACAAGAACAATATCTAACCTCTACCTCACAATTTAAAAAAACATAATCATATATGATTGTGTGAAGCTATGTAAGTAAATTTCCCCATTGTGGGATGAATAGTATATATAATCTAATCTAATCTAATCTAATCTAATGTAACAACTGGTAGTGTATCTGTGTGTTTCTAATTTCATGTGTCCCTTATTTTGTTTCTAATGCAGTGATTAATACAGAAGAAAAACGTTGATTCTCACCATAGAGGATGTGATGAATTTCATCTCCTGTGTATTTCACATGGTAAGTGTATACTAAAGTTGTTATTTAATTCAATTTTCAGATAAGAAAGTTGTCAATCAACCTTGTTGTTCATTGAATTGTTAACATTGTTGTTGTCCTTAACATCCGTTTCATCTGGAGCGAAAAAAGCAAAACGCTGCGAGTTCGGTTCTTGTTCTCTTCTCACTGACGACAAGAGAAGAAGAAAGTATCCAACTGGACTGCAGTTTTTTTACTCCTCCCCTGCAGTCGCCGGCAGATCACGTCGGCGGATCAAATCAGAGACAGTCAGACCAGCAGAACGCACCTATTGTGTCTGAAAGCTCAATCAACTTACTGATCAGTTATCACAAATACAATTTGTATTCAATTGTCTGTGGACAGCACAACATGTTCAGTAAGCAGGTGCAGCTAGTGGTGACACAACACAGAAATCCTGCGTGTCAACCATAGGTGTCAACTAACGCTGACAGACTGAGCTAACACACAGTGACCTAACGCACAGTCAGCTAACGCACAGTGAGCTAACACACAGTGAACTAACACACACTTCTACTGCACATCTTACATGTCCGTCCCGTCCCGACTGATCCCAGTGTTAAGAAACTCTTTGGCGATCCTCCTCCAGACAGTGTCGCGGTTTACAAAGCGGCCAATGCTTTTACAGACTTGAGAGAGGCGGGCGAGAGATTTACAGTCCAAATAAGACAATATATGGTAGAGGACATCCTCTGGTAACTGGAGTATGAGCATAATGAGCCCAGTCAAGAAGGAGTTACACCAGATAAAATAAACACCATCTTTCAGAGGAAACAGGAAGCAGCTCATGCAGTCAGCTGACACCGTAGACGAGTGAATCGTCACTGGGGGACCTGACGTATAGCGTACGTTGGCTGTGTCTGACTCGATTCGCCGACCTGACCTGTCGAGAGACACTTTTTATTTCTCGCACCGTCAAAGGGACGAGACTAAAGACCGATCTCGCAAGGTTCGCTTTTTCGTTGCAGATGATGTTTAAGAAATCCTCGTGTCAAAAGTTGTTTAGTGTGTCCAGTCTGGACTAATGTAAAAAACATGTTGGCTTCCGTAGAGCGGGTCCCCTTGATGTAATTATAAAATATTTGAATATAAAGGGTCTTTTCTGGGGTAAAGAAAACTACAATTTAGATTAAACTTACTCGTGAAAACATCATGAGAATTATTCTACATTAAATTTCTGCCAATAGTTCCCTTTCACCTAAATCTTACACACTGGACCTTTAAGAGTAAACATTTTTATTTGATCTACGTTCTATCATAGAAATAGTCTCTTAAATCAGTAAATGTATGTACAAACAGTAATACTAGTAGTCCTACAACATAGATGCAGTTCTGTAAACATTACACTGGGTGTCAGTATAAGAATGTGCCAATATACAGACAGTCCCCACACACATATGTGGAGATGACAAAATTTCTGACACATGGTCCCACCATGTGGCTGCAAGGATGTGGAAGGTGTAAATGCAGTCCCCAAAATATGTTTATCTGATGCCATCTAGATATAAAGGGCAGTTTTCTTGAGAAACACAGAAGTGGTTGTGGTAGTGCTCAATCCACACCTTAACAACATGAAAACAAATCATCTTTGTCCTCTTCTCTTCAACAAATAACGAAAGTGGATCACAATATATGGTGAGCAGTAAGAATTTTCTGATACAGCTGTCATTTTGCTGTTCAGCACCCATGTTGTCTAAATAGCAAATGCACTTACACCCCTCTGATTACCCATGGACAGTTTTGTCTCAAAATGAGATGTCGTCAGGTGTATTATATATCTTGAGGCAGTGGAATGCAAGTGCGATTGACCATAAACATGGTCTGAACTAAATGGTGCAGCATTTCAATATTATTTTAAAGCTCATTATCAAGACACTACATGGCTTGTTACACATTAAGATGATGTGATCATGCATGAAAAGAAACATGGCAAATCTATCATTCTACTAAGGTGCAAGCACACCTGACTTTAAAAGGGAATGGGAAATGATCCTCTTGGTTTGCATGTTATGCCTAAAACACACTCATTCATTCAATGTCTAATTACAACCTTTAAGAACCACACCACATTTTCTTCCATGGTAAACGAGCAAAAGTGGATTTGGACACATCTTAAATGAACTTACTGTATGCACTTAAGACAGTGAACCTAGATCATTAAAATATAGCCCATCCATTATTTCTGGTCTTACATCATTGTTGGACTGAGCGACCTGCCCCTTCTTGGTATTTTGGGAAAGCCTGTTGGAGATGCTGCATGTAAGTGCTGTTTGTGTGGATGATGACTTTTTTTTTAATAGTCAAGAAATGGTTTAGAAATTGGAATGTACATCCTATAAATACATTTTTCCAATAAAAGAGAATATTATGAAAAACCAATGGAGCAGCTTGTGTGGGTGTGTAATGTGGTTGGAGGAAAATAAAAAATTTCAAATAAAAAAAAATCAAAATAATGAACCATTCACTCCATTTAATAATTAGTGTATAATGTGTGCACACAAATGAGCAGAACATAGCATTAGTCATGTATGAGGTGGAAGCAGCCCATTTGGATGAGACTGAGACAATTGTTACTGTTTATTTAGTGGTAGAAATGTACAGTCCTTACACATAAAAAATATTAACAATGTTAGTTTATACTATTTTTTGCACAAACATTATTCATCTGAGAGCATTTGTTTTCACATTTCCCCTCTCCCATCTTGCAGGGCTCAAAATGGGTGATATCACATAAACGCTATGCTAAAATGCATTTGCACACAGCTGTATGTACAGTATGCACAGAGTGTAAGGCTGGTCAGCACACTTGTTACTATCACAGATGGTTCCAGAGCAAGCATGTACCAAAAACTTGTTCAGTATGCTAATGTATATTTATTACACAATTTAAATAAATATTCCATCCTTAAAATAATTTTACATATCCTCAAATAAAAATATATTTATATAAGTATAAAAACATTCAGGGGGCAACAGATTTGGATAAGGGAGAATGGGTGTATTGAGAGGTTCCTAATACTTCAGTGTTTCAATGTTAATATGTTTTATACCAACATTACTGTCAGAACAGGATACCTATGATTATCCAATGTAGCTGCCACATTGTTCCATCTGACGCTGTTAAAGCTCTGTTTTCTTCAGCACTGCAGTGCTATCACAATGCTCTTAGGCAATGTTTACTGACACTTGCATTCTCTAATGCGATGTGTGACAGTTTTGTCTTTGAATGCAGCGTTCCCTGGCAGTGCAGTCAATCAGGGCGCTTTAAGTTTCCTTGAGCAGCAGGCAAGAGTCCAATAAACGACTCCACTGGTTTAAACGACAAAAACAATACAAAACACTCTACTACATACACAGATATCCCCAATAAGTCACACAAATTATGTGCATCTATAAAAACTTTTCTTTTTGTCTGTTTTTTCTGAATCCAGGTCAGTACAAAAATAGATTTCTCATTTTTTCCCTTACTTACTTTTATCAAACAAATTACATTTAAGATAAAGTAATGCTCACTATAAAAACATGTCTTCAGAGGTTTTTTTGTGGAATTCAGAGGACTTTGTTGACTGCTGCTAATTCAGTCAGTTTGTCAGTTTATCCCCTTTCTGTCTTTTCAATCTTTCTCCTCTACTGAGTATCGCGTGCGTTTAGTCCTTTGACTGAAAGAGTAGTGGATGAAGTCAAAAGGCCGTTGGTAGCTTGGGTGAGCAGGCTGCTGCCCCTTTGGCAACCTTTTCATGAAATGTACTTCACGCTGGTGCTGGCGCGTCCGTGAGCCCTTCCGTGGCCGCCCGCGGCGGGTGAAGGCCATATACCAGCCCTCATAGTGGGCGTTCCTCAGCGCTGTGTAGTTATTCTCCAGAACAATCTCAGTGAAGATACAGTCACGGCCATGGCCATTTTTCTACAGAAACATACAGACAGCAAAACAGTAAGTGTTAATGTTTAGAGTTGATGATAAAGATTCACAGATAGGAAATATGAGATGAATAGAGGCTTCCCTTGGGCAGTCCGTCCCCTGCACATCCACACACACACATAAATTCACACGGACCTGTCCATTTATATGCAGCATATGCTACAGTCATTAAAGATTAGAGGGTGTGGGGGGGGGGGGTGACAGTAAGCAGGGACTTTTCTCCCCCTTCAGCAAACATCGAGCAGTCCGGGGTCAGATGCTCCAGCAGAAAAGCCTTAATCAACCTTGCAAAAATGACTTCCACTCCTAATTGGATTTTCTGTTGCATTTATGCTTAAATTTAACCAATCGGATCAATCAAAAAATCATTAAATACATCTCACAACACTTGGTTCAGGTGATACCCCACTAGATCAAGGTTGTTGATTCAGAAAACTGGGTTGAGATGATAAATGAAAAAGGTATGTATGTCGTATCTTCAAGCAAAAAAACATTTCAATGAACAGTAAGGTCAGCTGAAAGTGGAGTAACACATAGTGCTGGTCCACTGGAACAGACTCCCATCATTCTGACAAAATGGTTTTATAAATAGTCATGATATACACAAGACATGCACACATCCAAAAGACACACACTGCTCATTCTTCCTCCCTTAAAAAATCTGCACACACACTGGGACAGGCTGTGACTGGGCCAGTAGCTCAGGGCAGATGGTGTACGAGGCAGGGTGCTCTGTGTGTGTGTGTGTGT